TTTTTGAGCCCCTGAGGCCTGAATCTGGAGGACGTATCAGGCGGGATCTTCGTCTGTGAGTGCATAGCGAAGAAGTCTCAGGCGGGAGCCTCCTCCCACTGGGGCCCGCAGATCATGGTTTCAATACGAGCGGGTCATCGGAAACTTGTGATTGTCGTCACTTTTGCGCCCCTGAGGCTTGATTATGGAGGAAGTATTAGGCGGGAGCCTCGTTTGTGAGTGAATTGCGAGGAAGTCTCTGGCGGGAGTTCCGTCCCTTTGGGGCCCGCAGCTGATGTTTTTGTTTTATCCGAGCGGGTCATCGGAAAACTTGTAATTGTCGTTTTTTTGGGGGGGCTCGTGAGGCCTGAATATGGAGGAAGTATCAAGCAGGAGCCTCGTTTGTGAGTGCATAACTAGGAAGTCTCAGGCGGGAGCCTCCCCCCAATCGGGCCTGTAGCTCGTGTTTTTAATCCGAGCGGGTAGGTTGAAAACTTTTTAACCGTCGTCACCTTCGGGCCATTGAGGCCTGACTATGGGAGAAGTATCAGGCGGGAGCTTCGTCTGTGAGTGAATTGCGAGGAAGCCTTAGGTGGGAGCCTCCGCAGCTCATGTTCAAATCCGAGGCAGGGCATCCTCAAACTTGCAACTGTCCTCACATTTTGGGCTCCCGAGGTTTCAATATGGAGGAAGTATCAGGCGAGAGCCGCGTCTGTGAATGAATTGCAAGGAAATGTACCTACCGTGAGGGATCCGGCTGCAGGTGCACGGCTTCAAGGGGTCTCCGATTTACCTATGGGTCGCCGAGCTGTTGCGACAGAGCACCGAAGGCGCCGACGACGGCGGCGAGGCCGAGGCCGAGGCGCGGAGTTTGCTGATGTTCAGGCCCAGCGAGCAGGAGCTCACGTGGCAGAGCTCGGGGTTGGACGCCGTGCGCCGTTCGGGTTTCACCACAACGCACGCGGCCTACCTCACCTCCGCGCTGTCGCAGGGCCAGACGCTGCGCGAGGGCGTCACCATCGACTGCGCGAGGGACGAGGGCGCTGGTCGCGCGGGCATGTCGGACGACCAGTGGTGGCTGCACCTCTACGTCATGTTCTCCCGCGCCACGCGCATGCCGAGCATGCTGATCCTGCGGCCACCGCCGCGGGAGTTCTCTGGCCGGAGGCCGCCGGCGCCCTTGCGGCGGGCGCTCCTGGAGTTCGACATCAGAGCGGGGAGCCCCAGGGCAGAGGCGGAGCAGCGCTCGGCTGAGCTGGGTTTCGCGTCGCCCCCCGATTGAGCGCGGCGGCGTCCCGCTCGAAGCCCGCGGGGTTGCCCCGACGGCTTGGTCTCGCGCGCCAGCGGCTCGCGGTGTAGCGCCGACGGCGTGGCCCGCGGGTGTGTCCCAACGGTTGCGGCGCAATGTGGCAATTAGAGATTGCTCTCGCGCTGGCGGTGGCAGCGACGGCGCCGAGGAACATCGGCGCGCGCGCAATAGGAGGGGGAGAAAGTGGCGGGGCGCGAAAATAAAACTGGAGGGCGAGGGGTGGACAACGTGGGGAAGGGGAGGAGAGCCTGCGCCAGGGCGAGGAGGAGAATGACGCAGAGGAGACAGCAATGATGCCTCAACAATACGAGGACGACGGCGAAGGCTATTTCCAGAATAGCCAGGAGGATTCTCATGCGGGGTCCTACCGTCGGAGTGCTTTTATGTTTCGCCCAAAATCCGCCTGTAGGAAGACATGCCAGACTTAATCCTCATGTCTGACGCGCCTCTCGACCGCCCCGCCCTCCTGCCGCGCGGAGACCGCAGAAGGCAAAGAAGGGGGGGGCAGAGAGGGAGAGGGGAAGGGGGGCAGGGGAGGGATGGTCATGGTGATGGTCATTGGGGGGAGGAGGGGGGTGACTTCGATGAGGATGCGGAGGGGCAAAGCGAAACGGGCGGGAGGAACGGGAGGAGGAAGAGGACGACGAATGCCAACCCGACACGCATTCATGATGTTACAATGCACCCTCTCTCCAAATTCCCTAGTCATAAGTTCTGATAAACACATGTTCGTTGCGTGGCCCATGAGAGGACAACCTTATGATAACCTCCAACCGTGCCAACGGACCGTTCCTGGGTTTTGAACGCTGCGTATCAACATCATCGTTGCGTCCTCACGCTGCTAAGCCGACCGCGCCACAATACCATTCCTGGGATTTCCACGCCACGGATCAACGCGACCGTGGCGCCCTGGCAATCCTGAATCGCGCCATAACACCATTCTTTGACTTCGACCATACGAGTCACTGAAGCGTTACCATGAATGTCTGGAACGAATGTGCGCGGCGTTGGGCCAAAAGATGGATTGACAAAAACCACCCGCCCGCCGTGCGTGAAACCGAATTTCTAACACCGAGTGTTAAATGCCACCCGCCGTCATACGTGGCGTGGAAGTGCCAGGCGAAACGCCCAGCCCGTCCTACCGACGCGTCTGGGGGTGCGACGGGGAGGAGTTGATTATATGGAGAAGAGTTTGAGGATGGGGGGGGGGAGAGGGAGGGGGAGAGGGAGGGAACAGATGGGCAGGGATGAAGGTCCAATCATCCACCAGGGGCACCTCTTCTTTGCAAAGCGTGCCATCTAAAGGCTGCGTGCTGCGTCTACGAGTGCGCCGCCACGTGCGCAACAGCGTACGCCCAGGCCTGACAGACGCGCCGCTCTTTTCGTCATTGGCATCCTCCGCCCCCTCCGTTGTGTCTTCCTCTTCCGTCTCGCCCTCTCCTTGTGTATCCTCTTGTCCCCTTGGCCCCCATGCCCCCTCTTGTTCCTCCGCCCCCTGCTTTGTGTCAAATTCTTCCTTTTCGCCCTCCTCTCCTTTTGCATCCTCTTGTTTTTTTCTGGCCCCCAGCCCCATCCCTTCGTCTCGCTCGCACTCCCACCAATTCATTCAGAGGATCTTGACTCCATTCTGCAGGAGGTTGGCCTTCTCCTCTTGAGAACTACAGAAGTCCTGCACGACAACGAACCCGCACTGGAACACCTCCCGGCGTATTGAAGGCACGGTGGCATCTTCTCCTTTGCGTTGAGGAGCAAGCAGTGGCACAGACTTTCGGATGTCCGAGCGATTTTCGCGGATCGGCACCGTACCCCCCCCCCCCATTTGCGCGCGGAGCGCGCCAGGATCGGACGGAAGCATGGGTACGAAGACCAACAGCAATTCGCGCTCACTTTGAACTGGATTCGCTGTCGGTGGCGCTGCGGACGTTGTCCATGTGAAACAGAAGGCCGCCTGCCCAATAGCGGCCGCTGTTGGTGTTGGACAACATTTGCTGTTGGGCATCGTACCCATATTTCCGTAGTTACCCATTTCTGGCGTTCAATTTTTCGGCGTTTCAGTTCGAACACCATGACATGTGACGAGTGTCTTTCCCAAGGCTCGGATCGTGCTGCTGCGGCGGAGACGTAATGTGCGACACCGTTTGATAGCATTGTCATTTGGAGATCCGCAGAGCCGTAATATGTGGTGCGCCGCTGTGCACCAGAATGCTGGCGGAGATCCGCGAGAGAGGCGCAGGTGTATAGGTGGGTGCTGGCAGAGCTTGCGCAGGCGACGACGGAGGCGCAGGTGGAGGTGGACGTGGAAGTGCAGTGGGGGGGGGGGGGCGTGCATGCGGACGGTGCGATGGAGGCTCAGCTGCATGTTGGGAGGGAGGCGGCGGAGTGGGCACGAAGACAGCGTGGGAGGGCCGTGAAGCTGACGTGCAGGAGCAGGCGCGCCCCTGACGATCCAGCACGGCGCTGCTGCACGGGCTGCCCTGCCCGGCCTCGGGAGCGGGCGACCCTGCCGCGCCCGTGCCGAGCGGGCGCCACCGCCCGCAGACGGCCCGGCCGCCCCCGAGATCCCCCGCCTCGCGCTCCCGTGGCGTGCTTGGCGCCCTGCAGCTTGGCATCGCTCGGACGTGTGCATATTTCCTTCGGCGAGGACCGTCGAGGAGCATTCGTGATCACTTGGCGAAAAAAAACAAACGCACGACACCGGAACAAAAAACATAGGAGATGGACGTCCCAGCGGCGGCCAGGCAGTGTGCTCGGCGCTGCAGCCCAACTGGGCGGGCCGCTGCGGCGTGCCCTCGGCGTGCGGCCAGCTCGCGGGCCTCGTGGCGCACACGGGCCCAGCGGAGCAGGCGCGCGCACGGAGAAGGCCCGGCGGCCTCGCCGCGGCGCCGGCGCTCGCAGCGCGCCTCGCCAGGCCCAGCTCCTCCTCCTCCGCCTCCTCCTCCTCCTCCTCCTCCTCCTCCTCCTCCCTTCCTCCTCCCTCCTCCGCCTCCGCCTCCTCCTCCTCCTCCTCCTCCTCCTCCTCGGGCCTGCTCGCCCGCGGGGGGCGGCCGTGCTCCGTTAGGGTGGCACCCGCGGCGCGAGCCCGGCTGGCGGGAGGACCACGCCAGTGGCCCTCGCGCGGTCCGTTCGCCGGCGAGGGCCGCGGCGGCTCGCCACGCGCGCGCCGCGGCGTCGGCACGCCCGGCCTTCCCGGGGTCCTCCTCGAAGGCTCGTGTCGGGAGCTCGTTTTTCGCGGCCAGCGGCAGGCGGAAGCGCGGGGCCCGCGGGGCCTCGCGGCCGCGGCGCCTGCGCGTCCCGTCGTTCGTCCCGACTGCTGCACATCGGGGGCGGCCAAGAGGGGGGTGATGATCAGGAGGGTGGACAGGCATCATGGCCGTGGTCATGATGTCTCCCCAGTGTCCCCCTCGGCCCCTCTAGGTCCTCGGGAGAGCCCCACTCCTTGTTCCCCTTCGGCCCCGCTCGAGACCTTCGTAGCCCATTGCTTAGAGATGCGCAAGCGTGTTGTTCGCTGTGCGCCCTGATAAAGGCCCTCTCTCTCTCTCTCGTCTCTGGAGTTCTCTTATGCCGTCCGATGCTGTAACACCAGATGTCATGGGGCCTATTGTTATTTTGATGCGTTCCCTGGCCCCCCCCCCCTGGGCCGCCCACGTGGTTCGGCCCATGATTTGCGAACCCCCCTCTTGGACGCCCCCCTCTTAGACGCCTCCGAGCACACGCGCTCCGCGAGCTCCGCCTGGAACCAGAAGGCGAAGTGGACCTGGGCTGCCGCTTCCTGGCAGGCCTGCTGGACGAAGACCACCGGCCCGTTGCTTCCGCTGGCCGCGCCTTCGCCGACCCAGGTGTCAGCGCCGCGGTTGGCCACGGCCACCGCGCTGCAACTGCGCGTCCGTGCGGCGGGCCTGGGCCTTGCAGAGGGCCTGGGCCTTGCAGAAGTCGATGCCGCCAGGTCCGAGGCCGATGTTCTCAGGCCTGAGCCAGATGCGCCGCCGTACGTCGGCGTTCGGACGGGCAGCGCATGTGCACCACTGGCGGCCTGTGGTGATGCCGTCGAGTACCAACTGGCGGTCGACACGCACACGCCGCGGCGGCAGCGCACGGCCACTGCATGCAACTCGGCCCTGTCGATGTTGTGATGCACCAGAAGCTGCAGGGGGAGCGGTCCCCAGATCAGGAGGGGAAAAAACACACAGACACAATGAATCGTCGATTCCCCAGAAAAGATGGGAAAGTATTGGAAGTGGGGGGGAAGACAAAAACCCAGACAATATAGGAAAATATAGGGGATATTTTGATGGGTGTGTATTTATGTGTGTGTCCCAGGGCCCCTTCATCAGAGGGCGGGGGGAGGCGGCGCTCTCCTCGGTCGGCGGCGCCTGCTGCGCGCCCCGACCTGTGCGGCCCAGCCGGCGCCATCGCCCCCCTCGAGGCGCCGGCTGTGGCGGCCTCGCTGCTGATCGGGAGCCTCGAGACGGGGGTCAATGCAAATGGGGGTCAGCCAGGGCGCCAGATCCTGCAGGATCCTGCGAAGACCCCCTCTGGCTGACCCGGGTTTGCGAGCCGCTCGTGGCCGCGAGGCGGCCGCGCGTATTGGCTGACCCGGGTTTGCGAAGATCTGCGTTGCATTTGTTTTTTCCTGCATTGCAGTTTTTGGTTTCCTGCTGACCCGGGTCTGGATTGACCCGGGTCAGAAGATCCCCGAGCTGAAGAGGGTGGTGCCGTCGGTTCCCGTCGATCGCACCACGTCCACTTGTGTCAGGAACGAAAAAAAAAACACAGGCACAGTTAATCCTCGAGTTCCCAGAAAGTATGAAAACATATGGTAACTGGGGGGGAAGACAAACACCCAGACAATATGGGGAAATACGGGGAATCGGTTTATTTGTGTGTATTGGTTTGTGTGTCCCAGTTCCCCTTCATTGTGGCAGGAAGAGCCGCTGCCACCCAGGGTGGGTGGGCAGGCCGCGATCCCAGCGCAGCCTGTGTGGGTTCGTCTCGATGGCATGCTGCCAGGTGGCAGGCATGGCCTCGCGGTACTCCTGAAAGCTTGTTCACTCGCTTGGCTGGTGTTACGCCGTGCCCCATGGGCGCGCACGGCCAGCCTGGAGGCACACGCGGTAGTGGTGGTCGGGAGTAGCGCCGTTGGCATGTGTTCTCGCCTGCGTTTTTAGGCCTCCGATGCTGGCCTGCGACGCGAAGGCCGTGCCTGCACCCATCGCAGAACTCCGCAGCGGCTCGATACAGGTCATCGTGGCCAGGGTGGCCCTCTCCGCATCAGCCGCGATCCAGCGCGCCCGCTGCTCGCGCTCCGCGTCCCACGTCGCCTGCGCCGGGACGTCGCGCGGGCACACCTGCAGCACGCTGATATGGAGTTGTCCCACGTGATAAGCGTGTCCCAGGCGAGCCATGTCCAGCCGATCTCCCTTGCCGTCGGGATGACGGAGGAGGCTGGACCCAGCAGGTCCTTCCAGGTGTCGTCCCCGAGGAGCGCGATCTGTTGCCTCATCTACGCCGCCTGCATGAGGGACGGGGCAACTATGGCATCCCATGCCTGCCTGGTCGACTTCCACATCGGCTCCGCGTTGCATTAGGTCGGGCATGTCCCCCTAAAGGCGGGTTTTGGACGCAAACGTAAACATACAATAATAGTATTCAAACATAGTTTTTAAAACAATGATCACACATCGTCCCCTATCCCTCTAAACAAAAACAAGCTATGCTTGAATATTCCTGCTGTAGAGGGACACGCCCGACTCAATTGTTGCACTCTGGAGCTCAGGTCTTCGGCCAGGCAGCGCTTGGCCGACCATTTTGCACACGCGCTCGACCTGTGGCAGGATGAAGGTTAGCGCCGTGTGAGCGTTTTTTATTCGGCGTTTCGACATCGGGCGGAAAGGGGAAGGGGGGGAGGGGGGTCTGGCTCCAGACCTCTGCGTAGTGCGACTGTTTGCAAGAGTGCTGCCTCTGGGGGAGACTCCCCCCTCGAAGCAGGCGCCAAAAACAGCCAAGCTCTACTCCAAGGCGGGGGGCCGCGCCGATCGGCACAACAATGAAAAAAAAACGATCACCTTGCTGCCCAAGATGCCCGCCGGTTTGCGGTCGTCTCGCCGAGCCTGTCCGGGCCCCGGCGCCTCGCCTCGCGCGGCACTCGGGTGAAAGGGGTGCGCTGCAGGCGACGCCGCCCGCGCCCGCGCCGGCCAGACCGAGGTGCCCACTGCTACGGACGTGCCCTCCACTCTGTCATTCGAGAGGCGAACCTCGAGGTCGAGCTCGCCGCGCAGGTAGCCGGCGAACCGCACCACAATCCTCTGCGATGCTTGGTGCGGCCTCAGCCGGGCGGCCACACCGCGCCAGAGTTGGGTGGTCCGCGCGCCTGCCCAGGTCCGCGGTGCAGGTCACCTCGCGAGCTTGTTGCCGCAAGGATCAGCCATCCAGCATGAGGAGGTGGACGGCTGCCAGGGCGAACCTCGAGCCAGGCACGATGGCCGAGATTTCCGACAACAGATTTGAGCAAGAGTCGCTTGAACCAATCGTCTTCGTCGCCGAAGGGCTCACCAGCATCATGCGCAGGACGCGATCTGGGACCCCCCCGCCGCAGTCCCCGCGCGCGCACGTGCGGCAGTCGCGCTTGCTCGAAGCACTTCCCCTCCCCCTCCGCCTCCCCCTCCCCCTCCTCCTCCTCCTCCTCTTCCTCCTCCTCCTCCTCCTCCTTCCCCTCCTCCTCCTCCTCCTGCGCACAGACATGCAAGACATGAAGTCTGTGATGATCCGGTGACAGCACATGCAACAAGAGAGAGACAGAGAGAGAGACAAGTAGAGAGGGCGCGGGGGCTGGCCTCCTCGCCACTGTCGATGGCGCTCTCGACTAACCCACGTAGGGTCCATAGGCATGTACAGGGGAGCACGCACTCACTCAGGTGGTGTGAGCTGGCCGATCGGACACTGAGGGGCCGAACGAGCAGCATGGACACACATACCTTCAGCAATGACACGGCACATGACTGATGGCCATTGGATGGAGGAGGACACGAAACCATCCAAGCAATCGAAACCAGCCTTCAAATCATCACTGAGCGTGTGTAAACCTGACACGCACGTCCTCATGGGCAATCGTTGGGAATCAGACAAACACAGGATGAAATCGCAGCAAACAGACTGTGCAGATGTCCAATCGAGCGCAGGTAGCGGGAGGTGCGGGGCGACACGATGATTCACATGCAATATTACCCACGGAATTTGTACCGCACGGGCCGCAACCGAAATTGCAATGGCGAAGCGCAACACAGATTTATCAACTTGAACACGCGACCAGTCCCTGGGAGCGAGATCAGGGGCACACCATGGATGGGTAACTAATCGAAAAGGCCTAGCACAGTTGTCTCGCCTCTTTCACCATGTCTCAACCCTTGAAGACGCCACCATTTCAAGCACGATTGTGGACAAAACAAATTGTATCAGCCGACTGCGTTGAGCTTCGGAATCAATAGCCCCAGAGGTGATTGTGAGAACGCAAATCGCCAAACCACGAGCATAAGCAATCTCCTCACACCACCATTGTACACCATGCAACGAGCGTGCACCACACGTGATGTGCAAAAGGTACATGACAGGTATAGAGAGGGGAGCAGCAGGGGCAGGTGGTAGCAGAGGCGCCGCACTCGCCTCCACAGGCACGGGATTACAACCAACACCAGACACAACCGCAGGGAGTCCCAGGGAGACGGCAGCGCCAGCCAGGTCTGGTCCGACAACGCGTGACAGTGGGGCAGTGTTTTTTTCCTCGTAGTGCCCTTGCTTGCGCAACTCCCCTGAAACTTCGGTGTCTGAAACACGCTCGCCTGCAATCTGTGCAGGATTCAATCCTGGCAACACCGCAATCAGGTTTGCCAGGCATGAACTATTCCCGTGGCGCAGGTGCTTCAACAGCCGTAGTCTTGCATGAAAGTTGAAACAACATGGATTGGCACATAGCCCCTGACGCAAGTTTACCCACAGGGTCCAGTCCTGGATGCGCCCTCGTTCTATGCGAGGCCCATGACGCACGCGCGTGCAACGCAGCACTTCGTTCATGCCAAGGAAACGCGCGAACAGGAGGAGGCGGCACGAGGACGGACGGAGCATGCAACACCAGTGCTTACAGCTGTGTCGCGAATCAAGTCACACCATTCTAACCTGCGCAATTCGTCCACGTTCCGCGCCTTCGCCGCTCTCTCGGCCTGACGACACAGGCGCTTCTAGAAGCGCACTCCTCTCAGGCGGACCATGTGCACCCACCATGACGGAGGGCCGCATGGCGCGAGCTGGCGGGGCAATTGCACGTGTTCGTTGGGCCAGAGCAAATCTTGACATGTGAGGCTGGTCCATGATGCGCTGACCTGCATCGCTTCATCCAAGAGCGACAAGAGAGCATCAGGGGCTGCCTGCAGCAATCGAGGGATCAGTCTGAGCCTTTGAAGGCGCAGAGTGTTCACGCGCGGGGCCTGTCCAACCGCACGTGCCCTGCGACATTGTTATGAGGTAAACCATTAAACTTCAGGCCCGTGGCCTCACGAAACGGTGACAAACACCGACTTTCGATCAGCAACAACTGTTTGGTCATGAGCTTAGGCCACACATGTGCACTATACAACAGGTGCGGTGAGCAAATCTTGCGCATATGCGTGGGCTTGCGAGACACCTGGCAGCTTCCGACTAGCACAAACCATGCGCTGCAAAACACCCGGGGGTTGCTTGAGTTGATGACACCTATGTGATATCTCGGGGCCCATGCAGAGCCTGGGGTCGATGTATATGCCTAGGTACTTGCACTTTGCCGTGGGTGCCAGTTTCACTCCTAGTGCAGGAATTGGAATACCTTTAGGAGCAACCTCAGCCAATTCCTGTCGTGCCTTACGGGCCCCTTTGCCTACGAACATCGTCATGAGGTCAGATTTCCCCGCTTTGTAGTTCGCCTGGAAGCCACTGGACACGGT